CAGCCTTTTCCTTATTGTGCCTCTCTGACATACTGGAACAATTCTTAACTCGGGGATTCCCCCATAATCAAGTGTGAATGAACATGTAAACTTAGCCAAGTATTAACAGAACGCGGCCTTTCTTTCATACGCAGCAGTACATACTGCTGTGTGAATCCTGGCTGGCGTGACAGAGGTAAAAGGCAAACAGCTTGAGAAGTGAAGAGGACCCAAAACAGACAGGCGGGAACAGACCATAGTGCTGGGCAGAGGGCTACAGCTGAAAAGGGAGAGAGGAGCATTAATAGACACCATATGTCTGCATATTCAGGGGTCTCCAGCGTAAATTTCATTACCCAACGCACAAAATGGACCATCTAAAAGACGTGTGTAACGTGGCCTGAGACAGCTACCGTGTGAAAAGTGGGCCGTTATGTGTGAGAGCCATGGCCTGATCTGTCACGCTGGGGTTTTTAAGGGAAAAATGGGGGTAGCAGCTGTTTGGTTCACCTGTCCTGTCCTGTACACGGCTCTCCATCAAACCAGAGGCTACCGTCTTTGCCGGCCTGCAGACATGCACCTTCACAGTAATGTCAGATGTAACACTCCTATCTAATGTGACAACATTTACAAGACCACAGGCCCTCTGTTTGTCAGACTTGTACAATTATATGGTGTTCCATTTGTATAAGCGCTGGTTATAGTGAAAGAGATATCCATAAACAGAAAGTAAGGCCTTAAGCCTGCATGATCTGTATTAAACCTTGTTTTCCACCGGATGGTGAGTAGGATAAATCAACACAGAGAACCAGCACACTGTCCTTGCAGTGGACATTTAGGATAAAGTACACGATCGTGTGTGTGGGGGGGTTTAACGCCTACTAGTAAGTTGGAACTTTCGCTCAATATGGGAAAGTGTTTAGTGAAAAGATGCTCACCGTGAATATGTGATTGAATTATATTTAACTGTTTGCACATATGTTCCCTTGTATAAGGGGGAAAAGTTACTACAGCACTGCTTAAGCCATGGATTATCTTGCTGCGTCCTCTGCTTCTTTAGCATCAACACGACTTCACCCACACAGAGTCTATCACACATCCACAGAGCTCCCTGAGAGAGCGCGGACCTTAGGGAAGCACAAGCGGGGGGGGACCTCGACAGCGCCGAGTGGATCTGAGCAGGGTTGTGGTTGCGCCCATGGGCATGGCCCTCTCACTCTCTGGCAACCACTTTGTTAGGCACACAACACTAATCCTCCTTGTGTCTTTATTGCCCTCTGTGCAGAGGAGCAGGCCGGGGCTGAGGCTGGGGGGAAGCACCGCTGCAGGGCCAGTATCATCAGCATTCCTGTTTGAAGATAGGCCACACTGTACAGCATTAAGACATCTAATAGAGGCAAGCTGAGAGCAAAACAGACTGGTACTCTCTGAGACAGAGAGTGGAGAATAAAGGAAAAAAGAAAGTCCTCAAATACACCCCCCATCTTTCTCCTCCTCCTTGGATAGGGGCATAATTTGAGGATAGGCAGATTACTGCAACCAGAAATGACTGTGAGGCAATTCTGGTCCATGTTGTTACACACACCCAATAATCTAAACAACACATTAATGTGCTGCCTTAATTTATAATACTGCCTCTGTGGTTCAAAACAATTTGTCATGCATTGGATTTGGAGGAATCTCATTTTGAATAATTCTAAAGCATTTAACACAAATTGTTTAATGAATGTTGCGACGTATATCTGTATACGACGTATATATTTCCTCAATTTACAACTTTTAATTATTTGACTGCCTTTGTTGCATCCTTACAAACCAAAATTTTGTTGTTGTTTTTTCATTATATGCTCAGATTGTCAGTATTCAGACACCAATGTCCACGCTATTGCATGACCCCACACAAAGTTGAACTCACTCAACTGGCGCCATCTTGTGTCCGTACTTGGCGGACGACTGCAGACACAGGTGCAAAAAATTCAATGTCACCTTTTCCCCTGGATCTCCCCACTGTCCCCCAGCTGTCACCTGAGCACTTGGGAGCGTAAGGTAATAGCATCAAGATGCAATCAAGATTATATGCTTGTCAATCACTCCGTCCTGCTCAGTGGCTAAAAATGTGCGAAAGAGATATAAGCCTTTTCACAGATGGGAAGATAAAGTGCTTCTAATATTCATGTGTTTACTGGCAGGGCAGCAATGCAAGCCCTAAATGTTACCAGTAGATCAGTATGAAGAATAACCAGTTAGCAAAGGTTTGGACCAAAAGAAGATGAAATGTAATCATTCAAAGAAAAAATAAAGAAAAACATCTGAAAATGTAAATCTCTTTCCTGTAGAAGCAAATTTTCTGTAACCACTTTGAATTTTGTGGCACTCTCCCTTACTGGTGATCTGAAACAGGGTCTGCTGCTGTATATCTCAACTGAACAGAGCCCCTGCTTGTAAGCTACATCCATATTAGCAGTTTATTTCCATGTTTACACCGTTTCATATTCTTTGCAATAGTAACAGGATTACTTTGCGACAAACGGTAATTTGTGGAATTCCCTCATTTCAGTTTGAGGATTTTCTTTTTGCTCTGTACCCGTCTTATGAAAAAAAAAAATGTTTCTGTATTCTCGTCTCCCCGGAGGTTTGATTCCAGAAGCCCTTCAGGTTTTCGAGCAGACCTCTGTGAAGGGCCAGATAAAGCAGAGCAGAGCAGGGCCTGGTGATGCAGGCACAAGGGAGCACCAGAGACATAATAACATGCCAAAGAATCCATTGATGAGTCTTGCTTTTAAACCACGGGCCAATTTGATATTTCACAAAAGGCAGAATATAGAAATATACCATACACCGGGAATGATATGCCAAATGTGTGACTCTGTGCATATTTTTTTTATTAATTTCCAGCAAACTATATATGCTTTGACTTACAGCCTCAATGTTTCAGTAGCATGCAAGCATGCATGTTAGTTATGTTAGTTAATCAAAAAAAAAGTCCAGTGAAAACACCAATTTATTAACTTCCCATAGAAACCTATTAGAGATGATAAAATTAGCTAAAAAGCTGGCCGCTCTAACTTTATTAAAAGTTGGCCATGTTCTCCTTGTTTCTTGTATTGGTATTGGAAGGACAGTGTATAAGCATATGAAAAGAATAAGCTTATACTAATGAACGTGTCAGCATCACAGTTCAGCTCGTTTTTTAGTTTCTGGTAGTTTTGGATAACAATGCAGGTCAAACAAGCATGCCATTAATCTTTATCAGACTACCCAGGCGATCAATGGTTTTGGTATGAAGTAATGGTTTTAGTAGTTTAAAGTTAAAGTTTAAAGTTTGACGCCAAGGGAAAGTGGTCAACCTCGCACTATAATCTCATTTTACTCTTTCCTGTGCTTTGTTTTCAGATGAAAAATACGTACAAACAGTTGTATAATTCTGTGCATCTGTTGTTAGTCAGACCCTTTGTTTTCAGCGTCATACTTACAACTGCGTCACAAGTCACTCTGAAACATTTCCTTGGTGTCATCATGCACTTTATGATTGCATGCTGATGGGAATTAGTAAATGTACATAAGTGAATTAATGTATGGAAATTAGCTCGAGTGCCACCGTGGGCCTGGTTCAGTTGATCCCCAGCTGCATATGTTGGTAATCACCGCTGCTTCTTGAATTCACTCACAGGCACGCAATAAACAACCTGCTGCCAGCACCCCCTACGCTTTTGTCTAATCCGCCGTTTCACTGGGCTCTAGTTTGTCTCACAAATACGAAAGTGAATCTCAGCAGCAGAATGCACAGAGGCACATTAACTAGGATGTGTGCCTGCACACTAAAGCCCCAGACATTAGGTCTAGGATTTACACTGGAATATGATTCCATAACTGTCTTAAGAGTTTAGTGCAGAAATAAGTTCTCAGGCAGATCTTGAAGAACTTTGTGACTTTTGAGACCTCATGCCTGGAGATGTTTTTTAAAACAATTCATTACTTTAGTTAATTGACCTGTTGAGCTGCTCGTTTTAATCTGCAATGAGCCTGACATTAACTGAACTAATGAGACATTTTCTTAAAAAAAAGTTTAGTGTTGCATTGATTCTTTCTCATACATTCTTCTACATCCTTCTTGAATCTTTGGTTAATGCTTCCACCTACTGGAAGAAAGAGTGCATTGGCTGTTATTAAACACCATTAGATACAGCTGCAGCAGAAGACAATGCTGTTTTTGTTAAACAGCCTTGAGATATAAATACTTGTGTTTCAAATCTGGCTTAAATCAGCATAGTAGAGACCATCAGACCCTGCCAAGGCATAGAAATAGTATAACAAGCAGCTGGAATGATGATTTGTTGGATAAGCTGTGTGATCTTGGCTTACTGTGATCGGATGTTATGAGCCACCGGAAGCACTGTGAAAGGAAGCATTACTGCACTAAGATAGTAGGGGCAAAGAACAAACACTCGCCAGTGATCTGATCTCCCGGTCATCATGCTTTCCAAGAGCTCCATCCATCATTGATTTTAAGGTTTCACTGACTTGCCCTGCAAAAATGATGCAACAATAAATAGGGATGAGAATTGAGATCTATCTTGCTACGGCTACATCTTTCACTACAGATGTCTCCCTCTGCTTGTCTACCGCGACTATGTCCGATTGGTTATGTCCATCACTAGTTTGTCCATCTGTATCTAGAAGTCCCACAGGATCTCAACTTGCTCATTCTCAACCACTCGAGGGGGCGTACAGCATTTCGACCTCAGGACTTGCAGGCCATACTGAGCACAGATGTTCCTGTACACTATGCCAGCCTCTTTGTTATGTATGCCCTGTCTGCTAGCGTCTTGCACCCTGCTGTTATGCGCTGGAGTGGTACAGTGACATGCTATGCAGGTCCTGTTCTTGTGCAAAATATATTTGTTTGCAAAATCCTACTAACAATAAAAGAATCTATTTTCAAAAGTAACTACTTTACTTTTTTAATTCACATACTTGCAGGTGCGAGTAGAATAGGCACGGACCGCAGTCTAGGAAGGGGGATAGTGTCGCGCAGTCTGGCAACCCTCCTGTCAAACTCGCAGCGCGTGCAGGTTGCTTCTGGAAGTTGGAAACAGAAGTTAGCGTCTTTGCACCTAGCAGTACAGAGCTGCAAGCTAACATGGCAGGAAAGAGGGCGTTAGTAATCCTGTCTAAAGGCGCAGAGGAGATGGAAACTGTTATTCCCGTGGATATTATGCGCAGAGCTGGGGTTTGTAACATGCTATATGTTAGCATTTAGCAAATTAGCCTGTTAGCGGCCATAAAAATTAGATCCCGCTTCAGTCGACTCACAACAGTATTGGTGGCAGCATTGTTAAGATATCAGCCTGTGAAGACTGTTATAACAGCCTGATATCTTGATAAGGGTTACATACGCACTTATCATGTGCTAAAGTTAACGCTTGCTAACACTGTCGATCTAACTTAGCAATTTTTCCCCTTTGCATATTCCAGGTTATTTAAGCGCATAAGCTAAGTGTTCAGTCAGCTATTTTGGGGTTGTCTGCTAATGGTTGACGGACTCATAACCTTACTAGTGAGTGCAGACAGAGGCCAAGTTAAATGTCAAAGTCCAGCGTCGTTGCACATCTCCGCCATTTGATATCTTTCAAAATAAAAGTCTACGTCAGCCAGTGAAGACAAAATGCCACATTGAACCATCAGGATAATGATGCACTGTTGTTGTTGTTTTTTTCTTTTACTGCCCATACATGTAGATAGCAGTGACGGTAGCTGGTCTTACGGGCAAAGAACCAGTCCAGTGTAGCAGAAACGTTGTCATTTGTCCTGATGCCAGTCTGGAGGAGGCGAGGAAACAGGTGAGGCTCAGCAACTACCTGCTAACATTACATACAAGAAGGGGGAAAAAAGCGTTATTTACAATGCTTATATTATATGCTTGTATGTCTTTATTATTGGAAAAATGTTAGTGTTGATGGTTCTCCCCCCCCTCTAGGGCCCTTATGATGTGGTCCTGCTACCAGGAGGAATGCCAGGAGCCCAGAATCTGGCAGAGGTGAGATGGGGAGAGGGTCAGTTTTTACAGTTAAATTTTTTTTTGGAAATGACTTAAGAATTAAAAACAAGTTAAAATGCTTGAATTTGCCTAAACATTAGGACTAAATAACTGACAGTGAAAAGTGTGAAACAATTTGTTTCTAAAGGTTCATCAGTCTTATGTTTGATTAAGATGTCTAAACTGAATCTTCTGTATAGTCTATGATGTAACCTACACAAATGGTTCTGCTTGTGTGTGGTGCATCATGTGTTGTATTGTCTTGTGATTGTGTCCTGGTGTTTTATATGTGGTGCCAGTGACAAAAGAAACAAGTAAAATCTTGTTATGTTGTTGTTATTGTTTTTTTTCATAGGCAAACATATTTTCCCCTCGGGTTTTTCAAGTTCTTTGTACATTCTTTCAGGTCACTGCGTACTTATGGCATAGATTTAATGCACATGTATAAATCCACTGTTAAACGCATACGCTCTTTCTGTTAGCTCACACACTTGGGTCCTCAGTTAATACCACCTTGTCAGATTAAGTTTCATATTGATATCACCACCTTCGTGGATTTAAGTTCTCTGCTGCGGTGCCAAAATTCCAGTATTGGGACCATTCTAGATTTGTAAATCGATAATTGTATCCAAAGAAATGCTGTTGCTTCTTTTTAGCTATATGCATGTGCAAGAAATGTTATCTTGTTTTCATAGTATCACAATAACATTTTTTTACTAAAATTGCAAATATTTGGCAGCGGTAGGACGATTATTTTTGCCGGTTAGACGCTAATTGGGGAACAGGGGAACTAACACACACGGCGTTTAGAATGAGCACACAGCAAGCCTAGTACTGACTCACAGTTTGAAGGATATTTAGGATATTATTTAAAAGGTCTACCTGATGTTCACAAGAGGTGGCAACAAAAATGTGTGCAAACAAGGAAGTGACTCACATGTAGAAAAGTGGCTAGGAATTGTCCTGCCAACTTCTTCTCTCATTCAACACAGAGTAGTGTTCTGTTATACTGCAAATTCTGGTATTGATCTGATACCAAGTAAATGCAGGGCCCGCCACTACACCACAGTAAATGCAGTGCATCATGTTGTCAGCCTTACTGTATCTTAGTCAGGGAAACTGGTCAAGCCATTCTCTTCGAAATCTATACACTTTCCCCCTTTGACTTTCAGTGGGCTCTGGCTCAGAGTCGCTCATATGTGGCTCATTATCTGATGCCATCTCCAGACCAGTGTTAGACACAACCTGAGAGGTTGATGGCTCTTTGTCAGAGCACTGGCTATCAGTTTCGAATGGATCAGGCCTTAGCTTAACAAGAAAGTTTTCAATCGTTCTTTTCATCTTTTCTCATTACCCACAGCTACATCTACTACTTCTATCAGACCTAGGCTACTCACGTCTCTCTATCCGCCTGCACTTTCAAACATACACACGTAGGCCTACAGGAATATCTTTACCACGGCCAATCAGAGGGGTCCCACCCTTGACTATCTCTGATTGGTTTAGACCACCATATGGGCATAACGTGTATCTGTTGTTGACCACACGGAGACTTTCACAGTTGCGGAGATGTTTCTTTTTTACTTGAACGGCTGGTTGCACTATTGCGACCTAGGATTTTTTTTAGTCACACCATTGAGAAATTGGTTGCACTTAGGCCATGCATCTCCATACCAGCATCAAAAATGTCTCCAGAACATGGCAGGGCTGTGCCATATCATATCATCTGCAATAACACTAGTGTAAATTTTATGTGAGTTATGTCAGCGTCAAAGCATGACATCAGTGCTATTAGCAATGCCATGCCTTTGTGTTCCATAGCATACACGTCAGAAAGACTAGGCATTTTCTGAGAGCAGGAGCCCCATGTCAGCCGCTAATGAAGATTTAATTCCTAAAAAGGGAACTTTTTCAAAAAAAAAAAAAAAAAAAAAGCTCACTTCAAAAAGTAACCTTCAAAAAAGCTCAATACTTTAGAAAATATGCACAAAGAATTTTGTTCCCCCCAAAGGTGGAAACAATAAGCATGTTTCACCACTTAACCACTCCAGTGTGGTATATACCAGGTGATGTTGTGACTCAAAAGTAAATTAATGACTCAACCAAGCATCACTAACTGCGCTTCATATGACAGGAAGAGAAAACGTTGATTGGAATTTACTGATGTGGTTATGTGGTGGAAAAGCCCAGGCAGAAGTATTCTTCAGTTTGATTATGTGACAGTATTGTAGAGCTCTTGAAGAGTTTCATGGCTAAGGTAGTTGTTGTGAAACTAAAGTGTGAAGCAGGCATATTAAACTTTACTTAAAATTTCCAGAGAAAACAGTACCGAGGCTACATTTGTGCTTATAATTGACTCATGGTGTGTTACTGCTGTTGCACTATAATGTTGCTGCTGCTGGCACCTTGTTTCAGTAGAATCACACTTCAGATTAGGTCACCAGAAAAGGAGGATGGGAAATGCCCTTCAGTTACTTATACTTATAAATGCTGCTGCCTTTGAGCTGTCGACATCAATAAAATGTTTTTTTTTTCTGTATCATCAGAAATGTCACTAGTGTCCTTTTTTGTAAGTCACTAAAGACAAGTAATGTAACTCACAGTGAGCTGCATTACTTATGTTTCCTGAATTCTGTTAGAGATTGTTGTCATTCTGTGATGAAATGGCAATTTTTTCCTCCTGAATACTCATCCGTGTAATACGCTGGCCTTCATCGATCTTGTATAGTATGAACTGAACCATGTGTGTTTCAGATGTGTTCAGGTTTCATGTTATCCCATCCAGCTGGATGTGGAGAGCATCAGTTGGTGTTTGCATTTATATTGTTATATCAGAAGAATTTGGTTTTTTTTGTATTAACTGCTTGTCCAATGTGCCAATGAAATAGATTTAAATAGATTAAAGAGATCCATATTTTTACTGTTCTTGCAAATACTCAGTGAAGCATATATTACAAGATTTTGTATTTGTATTGTATAAATAATATGGTAAATAACCACATTAGTTTACACTATATCAAGGATTTTTAATGGACGAGTCTATTGAATTTATGCTCTGGTTCAGATTTTAGATATCTGTCCAGTGTGTGGTGGGATCAGCTACAGCCTCTCTGTAATCATGAAAAGCAAAAATAGCTCTGTAGATTGGATAAATGGAAGATGAATAAGCCTTGAGTCAAGATAGGAATTTGTTGTGATTGTATTTTTCTTCTTTTAAGTGATTTTATATTTAAAAAAACAACAACAACAGCACACACACATTTTAGGCTTTAGAATTTGATGAGAAAATGGCCAAGAAATTGACAGATTCTGTCTTTTTTAAAAAAAAAAAGAAATTTAATGCACAATATGAGTTTTGATATACGAGTCATATTTATCTGATGGGTGAATTATATTATTCGTTTTTATTTTTGCTGGGTAGCTCTGTGTGTGTCGAGTGTTTTTTAAATATTGTCAGCTTATCTCAGTGATTATAATAAAGTCAGCATATACTCAGTGGAACCACATGGACTGCAAATGACTCACTGTGCATCTGGTTTTTACTCTCTCTTGCAGTCTCCTGCTGTGAAGGAGGTGCTGAAAGATCAAGATGGCAGAAAAGGCCTGATTGCAGCCATCTGTGCAGGTACAGTTTGTGGAAAGAACAACAACAAAGTCATAATTACATAATTACACAGGACCAACCTTGAGTTGAGGTCACTCTCTGTGGGTTAAAGCTTCAACAGGCAATAAGCAAATGTTTTACTTTAGATAATCAATAAAAATTAAATGTTGATCACACAGACTGGTGCTGCCTTTAGATTGATTGGTTTAAAGTCTAATCTTAACATTGAAAAGCTGTTTTCCATAAGGAAAACGCCTCAATCCAAAAAAGGCAAAGAGAGAATTCTTCTTAAATTGCGGATTATGCAATTCGTGCACATATTTTGTGCATTAAAAATATTCTTCAGACTCATGTATTCTTAATACAGCTGTTTATATGGACCGTGTAATTTGGCTGGCTAAATTTGCAGCATTTATTTTCTTCCATAAGATTTCTTCCAATTTTTGTGTGTGAATAAACTGATATGATTAATCAGAACAATGCATTTGTAAACAAATGCAAACACAGCTCAAAATGTCCACTGGTATTGAATACACAATGATATGGAAATAGTGAAATAAGATGATTTTACCTCAGACATGCAGTTAAACGCTGCTCTGGGTCAAACCATGAAATTCTCCCTGCTGCTGACTTGTATTGAGAAGTGGATGAAACCAGTATCGGTTTCTTACTTTTCTTATTTAGAAACATCGGGAACAGCTTATCATCGGTTGACGCTGACCTCAGTTTTTTCACAGTGTGTTTTTTGAGGATGAAGTATTTGCAAATTTGCTTCTGAAAAATGTTGAATTTTGTTGTCTTTTGGCATCACGCTCATTTTGTAATGGCCTTAACTTTGGCATTTTTACATGGCAAAAAGAAAGTGTTGTTGTTGTTGGAGGAGCCAAGGAAGGTTCAAGAGTGATGGAAACAGATACATACAGACACATACTGATTGCAGGGTTTGTAAGATGTTACGGTCATAAATGTGATCATTGTGCTATGGTGTAGTTGAACAAAAAAATAATAATGCGCACACTTTTCCAAAATATATCAAAACAGTTGACGACAAAAATTAATAATAAAAAAATTCTCATCTACAAAGATACTCTGGTTTTAGGTTCATCAAGTTAGTTTTGTACTGGCAAATGGGATTAGGAAATGATGGAGGTTTGGTAGGTTCACACGTCATTTCTGAACATTTTAGTAAGTGGATTTAGCCTAAAAAGAGGATGCATCTCATCCAGATCTTGAAAAATATACACCAATTATAAATATCCTGCTCCATTAATTTATGGAAATTTGCAAACCCCATTCACAAAGGGTGAGGTTTTGATTAAGAAGTGTCCCCCAAGTGCACCCAGAAGAGGTGACATTTTCTTTGACAGATGAAAGGACGCAGGAAGGACAATTCGAACGGGAACAGGGGACCAATGCGGCAAAGTGGATTGAAGGGTGTCCTAGAAATGACTGAAATCCTCACAGGAATATACAGTTTAATGAAACTGCCAGTTATTATCCTGACACATGAAAAAAAGTTAATTAATAAAAATAAAAAAAAGACTTGATTGAAAATTGGAGTAATAATGCACCAAACAAAAGAAACAGGACAATGTATCTTATATATATACTTCTATTTTGAGCTAACAAGTGACACATGGATGTAAGAGAGGTCCCCAAATATAAATACACAATTTATAAAACAGCCATCATAATCCTCACACTTTTCTCTGCCTTGCGGTTCCTGGGAGAGAGAGACCTTCTGAGACACAGACTGCTGTCCTCTGGGTGGGGACTGTGTGTAACAGGAGTAGCTTGGCTCTAACTGGCAGACTGCTGTTGTGCCAGGGAGAAGTGCAATCTTTAGACTGCATGGGAAGGCAGCCAAGGAGCATAATCAATAACTTTCTATTTATTAACAGTTTTTGGATGAGCTCACTGCAGTGGTAGGGCATTACCAAAGTTAATGCAGCAGCAGTCAATGTCTTTCTTTCTCCTACCTCTCTTCTCAATGTGGCTCAAAGTCTTTGGCGAGAGGCTGAAACCATATACTATATGTAGATATACTTAGAAAAATGGTACAGTTAAGGATACCTTTGGGACACAGTGTTATAATCGCATACTTTGCAAGTCTGTCATTGATTTAGCAACTGAAATCCATAAGGTAAAATGCATCATGTTGTGTATTTGCATTTTCTTGTTGCTGTAAACATTTTCCATTGAGTTTGAAAGGGCCTGTTTGAGGATGCAGCCTTTTGCTTAGTTTACTCTTGACTCTGAGTTCTTTGAACTGCATAAAGATGAAAACGAAGACCGACACAAGCAGCTGAACACGCTCTTTAGTGTCACTTTCTAACAGGAAGCTGTTAAATGAACCTTACACAGCTTTGCCCTTCTGCAGGTCCCACTGCTCTTCTGGCACATGGCATTGGCTTCGGCAGCACAGTGACTACACATCCTGCCATGAAGGAGAAGATGATGGCTGGAGGTAAAAAACAAACAAACCCAAAAACAACAAAAACAGAAACCTGTGACTTCATGTACTGCTAAAGGCTTTTGATATTTAGTGCTGAAACTCAGAAGAGAACAGGAGGAGGTGTGTGTATTTGTAAAGGGCAGCAGATGGTGCTATACTAGCGCTTTCTTGCCTATAGAGAATCGTGTCACTCTGCAGTAGAAGAGCACACCACTCAGAGGTGAAAAGCAATACAAGAATTTGACAGAACATACTAGAAATGGCTGAAATTGTGACCATGTCTACATTCTCATAGGTCACTGTAACATCATGACATGTGTGACTTTCGGTTTGTAGCTCAAAGCTGTCATATTGTCATAATCCTTATGGTGTTGCTCTTTCTTTTTTTAGACCACTATAAATATTCAGAGGCTCGAGTACAGAAGGATGGACATTACATCACCAGCCGTGGGCCAGGAACGAGTTTTGAGTTTGCCCTGACGATTGTAGAGGAACTTATGGGGGCTGAGGTTGCAGCTCAAATCAAGACTCCTCTTATTATGAAAGACTGACTGTAGCTATGTTTTCTTGCAAGACTGCAAACAACACAGCCCCTCCCCCCTATAAAAGTCTGACAGTGCTGAGACTGCTAATCCATTATAGCTGGCATCGAGATTCAGGACTTGCTATTGAGAAAACATTCTGTTGCGAAAGGTTATCGTCTTCCTCTGCCTTTCATAAGTTGCCAATGATACTGAAACAATATGGATAATAATCACTGTTATATTGTAGCTAATTTCCACTAACTGCTTCCCTGTTATTTTGACTGCTGTATGGCAATGCCTGTCATTAAAGGACAAGTGTGATGAATCTCTGCTCTTGTTATTCCATTGTTTATTAATACTGGAGGTCACTCTGTAGATTTCACATGCCTGCAGTGCATGTTGACACCTAAATATAGGCTGCATAATGTAATGTATTGTGAGCGCTGGTTAGAACGCGGGAAGCGGAATCCGAATTGATTGACAGGCACTCTGGCCAATGAGAAACGTGGACCTAAATGCAGTTGTTTTAAACGGCGAATGGTTTCTCGGCCGCAGCCGATAGGGCGGGGCTTTGATGTAGCGCGTGGTAGCTGTGTCAGAGCAACAAAATCCGGAGGGTCTTCATACAGTCAAAAAGGAAGAGGAGGATTTCGCCTAAGGTAGGAGCGTTTGGGTTTTCTTTCAAGTGTTTTGCGGGTTATTCCGACTCCTGTTAACCATAACGTTCTCCGGGAATGTGCTTTGTAACTGTAATATTTTATTTAAGAATATAAACGCAGTTTACACCACATTAATCACGTTAACTAGCCACCGCGGGTGTCGAAATTAAGATTTCTCCGGCACGTTAATTACACAGCAGCATACCGGACAAAGGTTACATCATTTAAAGAGTGGGTGTTTGCAACTAGGACTCACTTTGTTAGCCGTGCTTAGCCTGCTGAGTGTGGTGAGTGGTGAGCCTCAAGTTCGCGGCGATCTATAAAGCCATAATGGATTGACATCACCGTCTCAAATTGGCCGGGCAGAGTAACGTTTGCCCGAGGTAACGCGTCCACTGCTTGCTCACTGTGCAGGGATGCGTTGAACTGAAACAGGAAGAACGACGTATCTTTACACTGTGAGATCGTTCTGCAGATGTGACCTGACATGGAGACGTCAGCTCCAGAAGCCCTCCATCCTCAGTAGCAGCCGCCGCAGTCAAGACTGCTGCATACGCTTACTGTAGCTAATGCAATGCGGCACAGGCCAGGTTGTACATGACTTGTGATCCAACTAAATATGACTACAGGAAATTTAATGAGCTCTAAATCAAAGTTCCATCGATACTGATGTTGCCACTTATTGGTATGACTATACAAACTACAGCATTTTGCAGCATGAGTTTGCTTCACCAGAGATCCTTACTGACAGAGACGCCCTGTCAGGATTACACATTCATGGTATTTCTTAAAAAAAAGTGCAATCCAGAGGTGTCATCTCCATCTTATTCAGTTTACATAACCAGGAAATACACAGCAAGTTATAATTCCATAGACTCCATGCTCAGTTGTAGGGAAACTCCCTTTTACACCACTTTCAAGCAGCAGTGATTCTTAGCGAATTCTTAGTAATTCCATGCATATCCGCAGCAGAGCAGTCAGAGATCATCAACATTTAAAAGCAGATCTAATGGGCTTTTATTATACAACCAAACAAAAGTTAGGGTGACACTGAGGCTTCCTTCCCGGTATTGTGCATCAAGAGAAACAACTGTTAAAATCAAATGAAAATCAACATCATCAAAAAAAGGAGTGTTTGTGTGAGGCTCCCCATGAGAAATGATTTCACTCGCTGACTACTAATTGCATGTTTAACGTATTGATTACTTTAAAATGTTTTTTTTGGTGACATTAGTTTGAGGCAAAAGAGACAGTGTTAACATTTTTCTGCATTTTTCAGTTATTTTCTGTTAGTGAGCTGTGTTGCTAAGTGGTTAATGTTAGGTTTCTTACATATTTGAGGTCATAAGCTGTGTTTGAGGTCTGCAGACCACAGGCTGAAGTTTGGTTTTAGAGCTTCTATATCACCTTCTTGGAGCTATTTACCCAACCGAAATAAGCCCACAATTTGGATTTCCTGCCCGACTGTTGAATAACAACAGGGGCCAACCATGTAAACAATGTCTGTCCATGATTGACTGACCATTGCAACTTCCTGTGGAGTTTGAGGATTTTTTTTTCTTTCTTTTTTTTCACTGACTAACATTTATTTAGAGATAATCTCTTGCTGGTTACGGTTTCCAAAAGTTTTTTTTTTTTTTTTTTTTCCAAATCATTTTAGATGACTGTTCTCATTGTGTTTAGACGTCATCATTCTATTGTCTGCCTGATCGAATTGATTTTATTTCAGTGTTTCATAATAAACCAATTAATGTCAATTAATCCTTACCACTCCCTGGAAGATGAACATTGCTGCTTAAATGGCATCTTCCTCATAAACTGTATAGCACATTCTCATTAATTTTCTGTGTTTTTCAGTGGGGTATTTATGGAACGTTAACATTTTGCGCTCTTGCACAAAACATGTTAGAATTATTCTGCTTGAGCAGTGGTACAGTAAAGAGCTTCAGGCTTGACTCCCTATTTCTGGATGGGGCAGAGGAGGGCAGGATGGGGGTAGGGTGAGTCTGAAGTCTCTGTGACTGAGTCATTGGTTTAGCTAATGATGCAATTAGAATGCTACACTTTGCATCTCCTGATTAGCTCCCCTGCTCGCACAGACTGAATTTGCTTGCCTGAGTTGTTTTTACAGATGTGTTTCAAAAGGTAATAGGCAATTTTCAAGCAATCATGGTTTCATCAGACAACCACAATTTTTAAGGTCATAAGCGATAAATGGATAGGTCTGACTCAGACACTGAACGTAATGGGGAATCTAAACAATAGTTGTTTGTAATTGTACAATTTGGGACAGAATGGGTAAAAGTTTTGAATAAAATGTGCATTTTATATTAAGTTACGGCTACTTAAATGTGCACAAGTCTGCATAAAATTCTATTGCAAAGAAATAAAAAAAGCTACATAGTATTCTGCTATTTTGGCGTATTTTTTTCATTATATTCAAAAGAATATAAGATTGTTTATAGCAACATTTTTGTCCCAGTTGTTTACTCAGCGGGGATTTGTTTGCAACTGACATGATTTAGAAAATTTACTGAGTTGGTATCTATAAATGTGAAGTACATGTATGATGTTTGAAGAGGTCGTTTCGTTGATAATCCGGACTCTCGAGCTTTTTTTCTTCTTAATAATCAAAGGTTGATAGAAGATTGAACTCAGAAGTTTAAAATTCAGCTTACGACTCTTATGTAATTAGTGTTTCCTTAAACAAAAGTTTCAGTTCTGAGTAGGGATCAGCATATAAGCTTTTAATCGTAATAAATATACATGTAAGCTAGGGCTGTGCGATATGACCAAAATCTCATATCCCGATATAAAACATCTATCGTCCCGATAACGATATAAATCACAAAAAATGTAATATTTTCTGTAAATTCTGTGAATCTCGGATAGGTTTAGTGTTTCCAGCTGGGCGTCATGTAGCTGGAGTTCAGTGTTTTAACCGATGCATGAAACTACACATTTTTAGACATAAGTTGTAACGGCCACCGTTTTCTTTGTGAGTATTTATTACACGGCGTGCTGCGGGGAAACGCCTGTTCTAACGTTTGAGTCTAAGGTTTATTTTTTAGCACCTGACGACTCTTTTTTTTTGCTTCTCATCCATCAATACTCTGCATACTTTTTCACGTGATTCCGTTTATTTTGAAAATTCTCAACAGGATCTTGAGCTTTATTGTGAAAAGTTTATGTGGAAAATAAACAAGCGGACATGCGATGGTTTTACCATCGTTGTTGCTAACCACAACCCATAAAAACAGGCGCTTGTCCGTCAGTAGTGTGGTTATATTAAATATAAGAGAAAGAGAGAACTTTAAGAAATTAATATAGCCACTACAGTGACCATCAAAACGATGAAAAAATATTGCTGTAAACAGTTTATTTTGCGACACCACGAAACAAACGATTGCGTAAAATGAAACGATAGACGTTTTTATATCGTCATCCGATATATATTGTTATATGAACAGCCCCTATGTAAGCTTTTCCAGCATGGCATCAATCCTTGGTGCCTTGTTTTTCTGCTTATCGTTATGTCAGATACAGTTAGCAGAAGTAAATGGGCCTGACCCAATGTACAAAAGAGGATTTTGAACTACAACAGGAACATTATTAGTTCACACAGTGTGTTTGGTCAATTAAATATTCCTTTTGTGTGCTGTATCTATGGTGAGCAAACATACGGAAAAGGTCTGATGGTGCAGTCCTATGTTGTCCTGCTAGTTATGCATCAGTTGTGTGTTGTTGCACAGATCCCTCTGTTAACATCGCATTATCCATTTGCTGAAAATGCATCCACTTAGGCCCAGACGGAACAGCTGATTTATGTATCTCTGCAGCCCTCACTACATCTTCTGTGCACATAAAGTGTTGCTGATGAGAGCGATAAACCAGGCAGTTTATTCCCCTCAGCCAGCAAGAAGACAAGGTAACTGATCCCAATTGCAGAGGACTGAATGTTTTTTTTTTTTTTAAACAGCAATCAAAAACCTGATTTAAATTGGGTAATCTCTATTCAGGGTCATCTACTTATGTGCCTCTGCATCACTTTCAGCTGTGGTGCTATTTTTTAAAATTTCATCTTGGAAGCCCCACTCAGAACCATTTGTACTTGAACATCTGCATTTTCTCCACAAATATTAAAGTTGTGTAGCTGTAGTTCATTAAATTCTGTTTCAGTGTCTACTTTTGTAGGGGTACATTTTGTTGCTGCTTGGTTTCTTGCACCTTCAGGTTAGGGGCTTAGCGAGGAGCTTTTTAAAAAAATAATAATAATAATAATTTTGGTGTATTTGCTCTTTAATTGTCACAAACAGTGACACCTTACTAGTAAAACAATAACAACTATCTTGAAATTGGAAAAAAAAAAGTTTTTAACTCAATGAAAAAAAAGCAAAGTTTCACAGTAAAATAAAAATAAACTGATTTAGACAGCACTAGAACACCTCTGATTGAAGTATCCATCCTTCAGTGTCCAAGATGGTTGAAGAAGCTAAATGGTATTGAGCTCCACTAATACAACAACTTTTCAGTCAGCCAGGCACAGCATGAAAGTAGCTACTGTGATATCACCTACTGGTTTCTCAAGTCCCATTTTAAAGCTGAGCATTTCCGTTGTCACTACCTTGATCTTTTGAAAGATAATCTGATAGGAGTCGGGTTTAATT